AACGAGGGAAAGACAGGTTAGGTGATAAAAATCAATTATTAAAACACCTCAGTTAAAAGTGGTTTTTTTTTTTAAACACTGGTCGTAATTTAGTCAAATAGTCATCCGTAAAAATGTAATTGAAGCAACAAGAATATCTGGGTATAGCTTACAGTCAATTTTCAGAATCCATCTTCCAGCCAAAATGGCCATGCAAGTTTTGAATGTCCTCACATATGCACCATCCCCATCCAGGGCTGCAATCACATGTGTAACATCTGGTCTCCAGGTCTTGGACACAGTTGCACCAATCTTCTCGGCAAACTTGATTAAAAGAAGCTGCACCATTCAGAGAAAATATATAAGTTTCTGATACAGCAAGGGAGACCTCTGGGTCTATGCCCAAAACCCAGGAGACTTAGTTCTACACTCCATCTCAACAATGTTCTCGTAAATGTTATTCATCATGAGATAAGACTTTATGCACTACAACCAGAATAGTTTATTAAAATTAAATCACAGATTACCAGATTCCTCAATTTTTGTTTACATGCAGATATATATAGAGAAAGTGAAAACAAATTAATAATTTGACCACAACCAGGTCAACAAAAGCCAAGCAAAGGAAGGATCAATATTATTGGAGAGATATTGTCTACGATTATACAAAGACAACTTTCCAAGTCTAAATAACATGAAACCAAGTGACGAATAAGAGGAGAAATTATTTTCAAACTAACCTTCTCTTCAGAAGACAAACCGGATGGGCATATGATCCATTGATTCACTTCATTTGGAGCTTCCACACTGTTAGACGGCGGACAGATTCTGTGTGGAGAATGAGGGAAAATCAGACATCAAATTAAACATTGAAAGAAAGAAGTAATATCGAACAGCAACGTTACAGAGAAAAAAAAATACTTTTGAAGCCTTTTCTTTGTACAAACTAACAATAGTAAATAAATCTTGAAGAGCCAAGAGTTAAATATAGGGACCAAAACACACAAAATCTGCTTCAATAAGAGAATGATGTCTTACTTGGGCTTCCCATAATTTGACTTCTCACTGGGAAATTTAGTTGAACTATGAGCTGGACAGAGCAGCAGAAAGTTTTCCTGTACAATGTTCAAAAGGAGAGCGTTAACTATTACTTAAGGCTTAAGGCGCTTAACAGACATTGGCCACCAAAACAAAACATATTAACTAATCTAAAAGGCTGTAATAAACAAAAGGACACGAGAAACAAATTGATTACAAATATATGCTACTACTTGTAAAAGAAGAGGATAGATACCTTGTCCCAACGACATTTAGAAATTTCAATTGCACAGGTAACGTGATAGCTTCTCCGGCAGGACTTCACAAAGCATCCCAATGCTGCTCCCTTTAGCCCACATTTGGTGCATTTTAGCTTCGCACCCCTTAACACTTCTGCCTTCAATCTCTTTACATTTTCACCTTCAAAATACACTTGCGGTGCCCTGCATTTCAAAATCCATAATATATTTATCTAGGAGCACATAGGTGACCAACAACAAATAGGTCAAAGTAAAATAACAATCATGTTATTGAAAAGGCAGAAGTGAAATAACAATAATGTTCCTACAGAATCAGCCCAAAAATTCCAAAAACAGAAAGTAATGTAGGTTCCATAATACTGCACTTTATATTGAATAATAAGTTTGATGAAAACAACTAGTTGAAAAGTTTATTATTGCTAAAATAGTAACTTAATGCCATTGACTGTGATGAGCTGAAATATTAAGTCAAAAGGTCAGTATAGAGGAATTTTTGTCTTTTTTTATATAAATTTGTTTCATTTTATAAGCAAAGGAAACATAGCATACGTTATACACTCATCTTTGAAAATACAAATATTTTCCGTATATTGTAAAGTACACAGAAAATCAAGAATATCTTCAGAAAAAAAATATTCATACGTGTACTATACATATTGTTAACTATGGTAGACCAAAAGTATCATCATTACTGCTTGAACATACCAATCAATGCATATTCTGTGAACATGTATAACATTTGAAGCATTTGCCTCATCTCCCTCAACCAGTCTCTCTTTAGAATAATGCAGCATTGGCCCTGTAACCTGAAATATTTCATCAATTCAATTGAGCCATATGTTACAAACTTACTATGTTACAAAAAGACACAAAGACTAACATATCAAAAGAGCAACTAACCACTGAGATTATAGAAGACTGGCAAAATGCACAAATTGTTCTCTTTGTGAATGATTCATTAGGAGCTGTACTGAACTTATGTTCGAGCTCGGAATAAGTTTCTGAAACTGGCTCATACTTTATTTTCTTTCTTAAATGACCATCAATTTCAGTTGCACAACTATCATGCCTTTTCTGCCCTACTCTACTGTCATCAATGTTGCTGATTGATTTCCTGACCAAAGAATTTTCTGAAATCTGAAGAAAGCATTACATAAGAAAAAATATACAAATAATCTCATTATAAGACAGTAACACACTATATCGTATTAGTAAATTTCGAAACTATTAAAACCTTACTTGCTCACAGGGCTGACCACAGCTATCATTATCTGAACATTTGGCATCACCAAATGAAGGAGGACTGTTGGGCAATGACTGTGCTGCATGATTCATGCCTCTTTCTACAGTCATGCACTCTTCAAGTCCACCAGCTCTTATTTGAGAACTTGGTAGCTGTAAAATGGGATTTCCCATTCCGCTTCTAGCAAAATCTAATACCTTGCCATTAGCATCTATTGGCATGCTACAGTTTTCTAATTTGCCATTCTTGCCAACTCCATCAGCAACAGAACGATTCAGACTACAAGGAGCCCAAACTCGTTCATGAGCACTCGACGAATAGATGGATTGTCCACTGTTTGAATTACCAACCTGGTCATTGTCAAATGGTTCTTTAGCAATTGTACCAGCAAAACTGATAAAAGGCGAAATGGGGTTTTGCTCCAAAATGGTTCTAACATCTGCATTGATCAAATCAATCCACACAAAAAGATAAAACATTATTGTCTGCACAGAGCTTAAACACCAAATTAACTTCCAAATAAGTGTGTTTACATATTAAGTTTGTACCAGAAGAAACGGGCTGCAACAAATTGGCGCAGAAAGACGCATCCAAGCTTTTATAGATGGCTACTATGTTTTCCATGAATGGCACAGGCCTGAGATCTGTCAGTCCACAAAACCATTGCATCAGACATTAGCTTTAATTACTTGTTTCCATAATAAACTGTTTTGGGAATTTCTAAATTAATTTCCTAGCAAAATCCTCCACCAAAAACGACTATTTCAGGCATAAATAAAACTAAGTTTCTCTTCGCAAAAAAATAAAAAAAATTAAAAAAATAAAAAAATAAAAAAATAAAAAAATAAATACTAGCTTTCAATCATAAAACTAATCAAAGGCGGCCAAAAATATACCTCGATCCGCAACCTCAGCTTTACAAACAGGGCAACTCGAACTGGGTATGCAGGAACTGCAACCAATTTAAAATCCCAGTACAGATAAAACGCTAAAGTAAGAATCTTGAGAGAGAAAACGATCAAGTTATTAGGAGAAAAAAAAATAAGAGGAGAGAGAGAAGACGCACTTGCAGAAAATGTGATTGCATGGAAGTAGTGTCGGCCGATTAAGCAAATTCAAGCTGAAATCAACAATAAAAACACAAAAAACGAAAACCCATTTCTGATAAACCACGTTTGCTTCAAATAAATCAAAGTAAAATTCGAAAACGTGAAAATTTGAGGAAAAAAATGAAATGAAATTTAGGGAAGCGAATCGAACCAGAGCGGGCACTTGAGCTCGAGGCCCAGTTTCTGAAAATGAAGAACCCATGGGTTCATCGTCGACCTGGTACTGCTACTGTCGCTGCACTTAGGGTTAGGGTTTGCGTCCGCCATTGAAACGAAGGTTCGGAAACTCAGAGAGTTCCATAGAAAACTCTAAGTGAGCTCTTCTGGAGGAGCATGTAGTATTTATGAGATGTCGTTTCAGGGTGTGTGTTGGAATGGCAGAAAACACGTGGACGGTGTTGATTTGTTAGGGGAAGGGGCAATGGGCGGGGTGATAGATTTGAGTCAAACGCTGACGTTTCAAGCTCGCGCGCTTTTCCAGATTTGGTTTTTAAAGCCTCCCGCCTGCGCTGTTCGATCTCACCGACATTTTGACTTTTCCGTTTACTAGTCAGTTGTTCCAGATATATACTTCTCACGAGATGAAGGAAATTGAATCAGCATCAAAATTGAAAGGTACGATCGATTTTCATCATTGTAGTAAAGCGTCTTGTGCAACAGTCATTCATACTAGATTAATGACGATGTGATATTATTTTATGAGTTAAAAAACGTTGCAATTGAAATTTTCTTTTTTCTTTATCATATTTTTAAAATATTTATTCAATTTAAAGATTGTTTAGCCATTTATATAAATTAATAAAATTGATAGTTCATCATAATAATAACTGCAATTTATGTGGATGACCAAATGATTTTTAAATTAAATGAATGTTTATGTAGATCTTTAAATAATAATAATCTGTATATAAAATAATTGTTTTGTCATCATTTAAAATGAAAGAGTTTTTGTATATAAGAAGTCTAGTACTACCATATAAAGTTAGAGATTTCTTTTCAAAACGTTTTTTTATACAACAATATTTACACTAAATGTGAACAAATAAAATAATATCGAATTTATCATCACAAACTTGAATCAGTTGGATATTATCGCTTGTTAATTAACACTTTTAACTGTGCTTTTTGTGTGACCACTAATATCATAGGGGTAGCTTAAAACATCTTAATGTAAAAATACGTTGTCAAGTGCTTTCCTGATCAAAATCAAGATGTTTTTCCGAAAAAACAGTTTTATAATGCAAAAGCACTTATCACCAAAAGCGGGCAGTTCTAGATGCACATTCTATATCAGGAGCAGGAGCACGGCGTCGTTTCGGGAAAAGAAACAGGGTGAAGCAGAAAGAAAGGGACTTGGGGCCAATAGGCAAAAAGAGCTTTCAACTCCCAAACTCCCCAAATCGAATGGCGTCATAAAAAGACAGAGTTGCAATTTCCTTCTTTCCAAACCGTCAAATGGCGATGCGAGCACCGTCTTACAACCACCACGTCACGGCGTTTCTTCTCCTCCTCCTCCTTCTTCCTCCACTCTTCCATGGCGTCGGAGGAGACTGGAGCGGCGACTACTCCAAACTCTCTGGTATTATAATCCCTGGCTTGGCCTCCACGCAGCTCCGCGCCTGGTCGATCCTCGACTGCCCTTACTCTCCTCTCGATTTCAACCCTCTCGATTTGGTCTGGCTCGACACAACCAAAGTTCGTCTCTCTCTCTTTCTCTCTGCTTTCGATTTTCCGAAAGCTCCGGTTTCTTCAAATTTCTGATGATTTTTGTGCGTTGCAGCTTCTCTCCGCCGTGAACTGCTGGCTGAAATGTATGCTTCTCGACCAGTACAACCAAACGGATCACCCGCAATGCAAGTCCCGGCCCGATAGCGGCCTTTCGGCCATCACGGAGCTCGATCCTGGCTACATAACAGGCAAATGCATTTCTGAATCATATTTTCAAGCTCGTTGCTTTGTTTCTTTTCTTAATCTTTTCGGAACAGGTCCGCTTTCTTCGGTGTGGAAAGAATGGGTGAAATGGTGTATTGAATTGGGAATCGAGGCAAATGCAATCATTGCTGTGCCGTACGACTGGAGGCTGTCGCCGTCTAAGCTCGAGGAGCGAGACCTTTACTTTCACAAGCTAAAGTTTGTATTTTTATCTGAAGTTCATGCTGTTTTTTACTAATTATTTTTATGTTCTTCTATGAATTCTTCGTTTCGTTACTTCCGCATTGATACAATATCCAGAAGTGTTAGTGTCAAATGATGTTCATATGCTAACTTGTTAATTATGCTTGGACTTTTCATCATTTGAAAAAAAAAATTAAAAATTAAAAATGCAGATTAACATTTGAAACGGCGCTGAAACTTCGAGGAGGACCCTCGGTAGTGTTTGCCCATTCGCTAGGGAATCATGTCTTCCGCTACTTTTTGGAATGGTTAAAGCTGGAAATTGCACCAAAGCATTATATCCAATGGCTGGATGAGCACATTCATGCCTATTTTGCCGTTGGTACGGTTGGTTTGCATCAAAATCTGTTTACTTTGAAAGTTTTGTTGCTTAGAATCATGTGTTCTACTTATCTAGTTTGTTTTGTTGACTTCGTTCCAGGAGCTCCACTTCTTGGTGCAGTTGAGGCAGTCAAAGGAACACTTTCTGGATTAACATTTGGCCTTCCTATTTCTGAGGTACCCGTTTTTGCTCGTTGATAAACCTCCTCAAAAATAGTTTGTTTATTTTTCTTTTTTCTTTACTCCTCCAAGGTGGAAGTGTAGCTTTTGTTTTACTTTTTATTTAGTATTTGTTAATGGCTTATGGAAAAAATAAAACAAACCAATTGTTGTTTCTTCAGTCATTACGCTTCAGATATGTAAATACATGTAAGAATTCCCAAAATTATATCATCTTGATCATGCTCTGTAAACTCAAGGGAAAATAAATGCATATGACAATCAGTTAAAATCACTGTTCATGCCTATCTTGTTTGGAAATAGTGGATATTCATGATAATTTCTTTTAGATGCAGTTTCATGTTTTAACATGGTTCATGTTTTATATGTTTCGGTTATCAGGGCACAGCTCGGTTGATGGTCAATTCATTTGCTTCTACGTTATGGATGTTGCCATTTTCAAAGTATTGCAGGGCAGATAATACATACTGGAAACATTTCTCGGTGGATATCAGGGACAAGAGTGGTCATCATAATTATCACTGTGATGACAGGGAATTTCACTTTAACTTTTCTGGATGGCCAACAAATATTATCAATATTGAAATTCCTTCAATCCCTGGTAAAATTTTGATCATGATGCATATTTTTTGGTTGTGATGTTGTTTTTCATAGGTACTCTTTGCATCTTATGTTGACAGGATTTGGAGCGTATCCATCAGTTACAGAAATAGCTGAGGCTAACTTGTCTAGCATAGAATGTGGACTTCCTACCCAATTGTCTTTCTCTGCTCGCGAAATATCAGATGGGACCTTTTTCAAAGCAATAGAGGATTATGACCCAGACATGAAGAGGATTTTGCATCAATTAAAGAAGTGAGTAGTTTGATATATAATCATAATGAAGTATCATTTTGCTCGCTTGTTTTTCTGACATTGGATGCCTTTGTGTAACAACTTTTGTTGTTCATGTTGCTGGGTCGAAACTTAATCCTTTACAACTTCTAGACTTCAGTTTCTTTGTGTTAGTGGCATGAACTTCAAGTTGTCGTCAATAGTTTCATCGATTAGTTAACTTAGTGTTCCAGTACCTAGGGTAGGCAACACCATTAAATGCCATTGGCAAAGGACACCTTTTGCCATACAATATGTAGTTCTTTTTCATTGTATATCCTTATTTTCTTTTCCAATATTTTACCGGGTGGACATCAAGGATTAAGCTATCTTGACTGTAGTTCCCGGGTTCTGTATGGATAAATGATCTCTGTTATGCATGTTGCCCCTTAACTTTCTGCTTCTATTTAAAAATAAAAATAAAAATGTTTTGACCTTTTTTCAAGCATATAAAATGTTGTTGTCTGTCTCAGCTTTCCAACTGCACTGTTTTTTCAGGTTATATCATGATGATCCAGTTTTAAATCCGCTTTCACCATGGGACAGGCCACCTCTAAAAAATATATTTTGTATCTACGGAACAGACTTGAAAACTGAGGTATATTTTCCATGTCGTAGCGAATAGTATATTTCTTTTTGTCATGACTGAAGCAACTTCACATAATTGGCGTTCTTGTTTGTTTTTAGTTGCAGGTTTCCTATCAAAGTAGTGAATTTGGAAATATAACTTTTGTGTGCTTTGTTTCATAGTATTTTCCATGCTTGAAATAATTCTATTTTATTATTACCAAGTCATATTTGCTTATAAGATGCACTTGCTGCTACTCTTCAGATTCATTATTCAATAGGTTTTAACAACAATAAGAAAAGCTGCTAGATTCTATTCATCCTAAGATATCTTTTTCTTATGACTAGGGATTTGTTGGTGCCTGTTCTACATTTAGCTGGTAACGGTGTTCTGGTGAATGATAGTTTTGGTATCTTGGCATGGAAAAACAGGTTGGTTACTATTTTGCACCAAGTGGCAAGCCCTACCCTGATAATTGGATCATTACCGATGTGATTTATGAGCTTGAAGGTTCCTTGTTCTCAAGGTAAGTTTCTTCCTTATTTTATTATTTCCATACTACACACAAGCACACCTGGTGCATGTATGCTTGAATACATTTACTGCAAACGCATCATCAAATGTTATATGTACTTAACTGGTAGGTCTCTTTCTCCTTCTGTATGTGACTATGTGGTAAAACATCACGAGGTGTTGACTTTATCGCATAAGCAAAGCAGATGGAGATCAACATATTATTATTTCTTTATCTGTCAATTAACTAATTATTGTACAAATGGGGTTTTGAAAAATGACATACGTTCAGAGTGTTACAGTCCTATTTGAAAACTCCACAGTTGATAATTCCATAATATTCTTTTAGGTCAGGGAATCTTGTCGATGGAAATGCAGGAGCTTCAAGCGGGGATGAGACTGTGAGTTAAAACTTCTTACATGCAAGCATGGTTCAAGTTAGATTCTCCTGCTTCATTATTGTTTTCTTAGCCTGGTTTTGGAATAGCATACTCAGCATTTTGTAAACACGATATTTAACAGGTCCCGTACCATTCTCTTTCTTGGTGCAAGAATTGGCTTGGACCAAAAGTAAACATAACTAGAGCGCCTCAGGTATTTGTCTTTCCTTTGAGTCATATGAGTTTGTCTGAAATAACTCATTTCATTTGTCTGTTTAGGAAAAGAAAATGAGAATATTCATCAGTAAGTTTGATGTGCTTCTTCACCGGTAAAGTGGCCTTGTATGTGAGTTTTTATTATTCGTTTTCCCAATCTTGTAGTCAGAGCATGATGGTTCTGATGTGCAAGTGGAGTTGAATGTGGAACATCATCATGAAGAAGATATATTGCCCAACATGACAAGGTTGCCGAGGGTCAAGTACATAACTTTCTATGAAGATTCTGAAAGTATACCAGGAAAAAGGACGGCAGTCTGGGAGATAGACAAAGGTTTCCAGTTTCCACTCTCTTGTAATTATTCTATGATTATTTGTTGCATATAAATAAGAGTTCTTGTATAATTTACCATCTTTGGTAACACTGTCTTAATGTAGCGAATCATAGGAACATTGTTAGGTCCCCGGTTTTAATGAGAGAGTTGTGGCTTCAAATGTGGCATGATATCCATCCCGATGCAAAATCAGCATTTGTTACTAAAGGTGAATGCTTCTTCTCTTCTTCGTCTTCTGTCTCCTCCTCCCTTCGAGCAGTGTTGCTGTCTTTCTGACATATAAAATCTGCAACAGCCAAGCGTGGACCTCTGAGGGATGAGGACTGTTATTGGGATTATGGAAAAGCTCGATGTGCATGGACAGATTACTGTGAATATAGGTTTGTTGTTTTATAAACTCACAAGTCTTTTCCAAAAGTTTAAGTTTTCCTTTTCACCCCTTAATTTTCAAGCTTGATGATGCAGATACCTTTTCGGAGATGTCCATTTAGGACAGAGCTGTAGGTTGAAGAATTCTTCAGCAGATCTTCTTTCGCATTATTTGTAGATTAGGAGGTATCTCTTTCTTCTTTATCTTCTCTCTAAAAGATTAGTTCTGCATAAATCAGACTATACCCCTGTATCATTGTTATCCAACAATTTTAAATTGGAATGTATTATTTACTGTAACCTTAACTATTCTGATGATATTTTCGAGATTGGAGGCACATACCGTTCACATATGAGTGGTCTCATTCGTCTCCCGAAAAACTCTCAACAGTTGAGCAATTCCCTTTTGTATCAAGCAAAGTCGGGACTGCATCTCAGATCTCCAGAAGGCTTGATGATTTTGTTGGTAGAACCTAACTCGGCGCCTCAGCTTTGTCTTCAGTCGATTTTTGCAGCTGGAGGACTGCATTGCTGAATCTAATTTGCTCGCCGCTCAGCCCTCCCAAACTCTGTCACCGCTGTATACTTTTATTTTGTGCTTAACCTAGTCTGTTATGAGATTCTTGCCAATAAATGTGTTTTGTTTACTTGTATTACTACTAAACCACATACAGATAAAGACGTATTGAACTAGAGTATGTCGATCTTCGAGATCCCACTGAACTAGGTCTTAACATTTGCATTTACAGAATACAATGTCATTCTTCTACATTTTGTATGTACGTGTTGGAAAATTTTCTCGAAATGTGATGGTTTGGGGAGGATTTTGTACCTTTAAATCCATAAACGTTATCTTGCAGCCTTTCAAGTAACTAGAAATCCTTGTTGAACATTTGCTTAGTTGAGAAGAACTCAAGCGAAGAAAACTGATTCTCTACTGCCGTTTTTCGTTTAACTTCGAGTATTCCGACGATACTTCCATGACATCCCGGAGAAAAACAGAGACGGGTTCAAAGTTCAAACAGCAATGGTATGCAAAATTCTACATTGTGTCACAAGCCAAAGGAAACAGAACAATAATTCAGTTTTACATTTGCATCAATTACCCCTACAAGGAAAACGCTTATACAACAAAGATGTGTGGTTCAAGGATGAAAGAAATATAGGGGGGTAAAGAGGAAGAAACAAATCTAAAGATGCCGGATCTTCCGAAAGATTTCAGCAATCAGCCCTTTTTGATCTCGAAGGAGTAGTGAAGTTCCATATGGCATCTCCTGTCATCGTCTTCAAACTGCATAAAATTGAAACGGAGAAGAAACATCAATACATATTTTGTTATACTACTGAAACCCTAGTAATATTACGACTGATGTCACCACTGCAAAATTAAGAGATCTCAAAATAGGCACCTCTTCTCCTTCTAATCGAAATGTGAATGAACAAGCCGTTGATTGTTAATCGAAATATAAAAGAAAGAACGAGGTTTCATATTATTTACACAGTTTTCAATCTCAAATTGAGCTCGCTGCATGAAAATACGCATTGTTGAATAAACACATGTGCTAACTGCCACGCACCTTAAGCTTTGCTGCATATATGCCCCTTGCAAGCAACCCAGATGGAGTGGTCTCCTCTTCCAAAGTGTGCACATATGGTTCTTTGTTAGGAGCAAACGTACCCAACATGCCTTTGCTCTGATCGACTGACACATGATAGAGTTAAAAAAAAATTGGTATAACGGTTAGCAAACAGAACATAAACCTAATCACGGGTGGCGCAAATAGCATTCTATGCTATACTAGTCTTACCTCCTTCTACATTAACGTGTTGTTAACATTTTTCAGTAGTATAATTACGTTACTGCCTTCAAGGTTTAGCCAAAAGTTTCATCAGCTTTCAACCATCTCTATTTGCGCTTAAAACATCTAGACAAGATGATAAAACACTATTAACTACCTTGGAGTCCTCCCTTCCACACTGTGTTGGAGTAGATAAGGCCAGAAACAATGTTGTGCAGAACGCTAAATGTTAGCTTAAGGCGATATTGAGATCCCTCTTGCAATGTAAACAGGACATGGTTGATCTGATTTTCCTGCAACAGGTAAGGGAGTAGTGATTTCCCCGAAGTCATCAGAGAGGATTCCGATGGAGTGAAATTTGACTTCAGGTTCCATTTGGCCTAATCAAAGTCCAAACAAAAGACTCTTAGAAAAAACATAAGACAACAGATTCAAAAACCACAACAAAGTAGCTGTGGAATAAAGAAGCGAGTATCAAAGAAACACGAAAAACAAACCATTCAAATCGCTTTCCATTTCCAAGCAACCGAGCAGTTTCTCTTTCCACCTCCTTAAGCTTTCATCATCCTGTCCAGCCAAGTAGCTTCAAACTTGAATTGGTAAACTCCAAACACTTTGATTTTCCATTTCACACAAACTAACTAATTGATCTAATTGGATTGGACATAAATGAGATTAAAAATTCAAAAAATGCTAGGGCAATGGCAGGAGTCACACATTCAGAAAGCTAAGAAAATGAGATCAGAAAAAAGTAAAGACCATTTTCTTTTCTTTTTCTGCAGCTTCTGAGATACCAAACACAACCATCATTTGGGTTCCAAGAAAATTCCCAAAGAACCCATTACAAATATTCAATCAAACAATAATCCAATTAATTAAGCAAGATTAAAACAAACCCAAATTCTTTACCAAAAGAGAGAAGAATCAAGAGAGTACCTTGTCTTTCTCAATCTGTTCCTTGAGAGAAACCAAAGGCCCAGAACAAAACCACCAGCAGCAGCAACCCCATTACTCTTATTATCTTCTTCCTCTTCTTCTTCCCCAACATCACAAAAAGCACTCAGCTTTTCAGCCATTTCCTTCTGCTTTTCTTGTCTTCCTCTTCCCTGATCACTTACAGCCCCAGCTGATGAAAACCCACCTGACGATGATGCCCCTGCTTCATCTGCCCTCTTCCCTCCCTCCATCTCTCTCTCTCCCCCACTCCCCAGACTGAGACACTGGGTGCGGTATTCAGAAGAGTAAACAATGACAGAAAAAAGGAAGGGATTATGATTGAAGTGGGGGCAATAAATACGTATAAAGTTGGATATACTGTCTGTTCGTTGGAATAAATTTTTCAGTGCGATCAAAACACGAATAGTACATTGCGTGTTATTATACAAATAGTAGGATATGTATATTAAAAATTAGTAATTTAAATATTAAAATTTTGTAGCACTTATATAAAAGCACGTGGTGTACCACTTATGTTCCGGTCATAAAAAAATTTGGGAAATTTGGAAATATAACTAAAATTTAGACCCCATGTAGAATTATAACCAGCATTTTAATTTTATGATAATTATAACCAAAAATTGATGTAAAAGTACTGATATATCTTTAATGTTAGGGTTTCTCATAACAACCAAAATCCAACTTATAATATTATAGATTTGAATATAGATGGATATTTAAACTACCTTCATATGTCTAGGATCTTTAACTATACCTTTAGATATCTGCAACCTTTAAACCAGAATAAAAGCATGAATTAAAACAGCTTCCATGGAAAACATAAAAAAATCAAAGAACTTGGAAGATTAAAATATAGAGAAAACCATTGATTTTGTGAAAATGGGAGCTTTGAAAGCGTGGCCTTTCTAGAAAATGAGTAAAACATAAATTCAGATCAAATAAATATACCACGGAAAATCCTCTAGGTGCCAGTGTGAAGTAAAACATTTTTTTCAAGCATAACTCTCAATGTGATGAGGAGGGAAATTGTCCTCCACCCGTTGTCCTTGCCTTCCTGCTGCTTATGGAGTCAAATTTTGTTTGGCCACCAAAATCTCTAATTCTTGCAAAGGCATAGAAAGGATACGGCAAAAATGTTGCTAGTTTTGCCTTTTGATTCATGCTTTCATTGTGCAGAAATCCGGAAGGTTGCAGGAAGTAGTTCAAAAGTTGCAAAGAATAATGAAAATAAAAAAGCCATAGAGATTAATTCCTCCTAATAAGGTTGTTTAAAGGTTGTGTTTTGGTTGTTGTGAGAAACCCTAATATTTAGGGTATATTAGTACCTTTACGTCAAATTTTGATCATAATTGTCATAAATGGTTATAATTTTATATTGGGTCTAAACTTTGGTTATTTTCCAAATTTCCCAAAAAAAAAGGAAGTGTTATTGGCATTCCAAAAATCTCATTCTACACTTCTCACAATTGTATTTTTCTTTCCTAATATAGAAAGTTTGGAATGTATAATGAAATTTTTAGAATGTTAATAACAATTCTAAAAAAAAATTCGTTCACTGGACCGATCAAACCTCCAACAAAAATAAACCTATATACGTAATGTCCTTTTACCCACCTAAGTTAGGGCACTATTGGCTTTTGACCGTTTTATTCTTCAATTAAATCTATTTCACAATATTTTTTCTAGAATTTTAACGAAAAGTTTTATATACTGTTTATTTTAACGAAAAATCACATTTTTATACTAAAAAATCAATATAGTACTATTCATTTTATCCTTTATTTTATCATTTTAATTAAAACTCAAAATTTTCAAATATTTTTCATTAATTTTCTCTCTTTTTTCTCGTAGAAGTCTGATGATTATTTTGAAGTTCTATAATAACACTTTTACCAACAAAACCGCAGATTACACTTTCTTCTTCTCTCGATCCGAAAAAATAAAAAAATAAAAAAACTTTGGAATCGAACTATCTGGACGAGCATTTTGTGGACTATTGCGCTCGGTTGTCCTCATCTGGTAGTGTAAAGTCAATATATGTGTGATGTGCTTTTCTTTCATTTTTTATATTTGACATATCATGCGCTTTACAACCTATAAAGAATAAAAAATGAATGAATCCCGCGTTAAAATCAATTATCTAATGCTTGAACATCTAGGCATCATTACCCAGGAAAAACTTTTATCTGCTACATCAGCAATCTCTATTCATAACTTTCCTCGATTCCAAGTAAGTAACATGCGATGAAACTGAGTTGTTGAAAAGAGAAATGAGTCGGCAATGGGCTTCTGAGAAAGAATCGACCTGCCATACCGAACAGGATGAGGCAACCGTTAGGCCTTGAATTCCATAGTTGAGTTAATCTAGTAATCCGACTTAAAAATATTTGTTACGTATACAATAATATTTGTATTAAGGAAGAGAGGTTTTGGGCTAAGAATATAATGTACACAGTCATAATAATTTGGTTTTGAACTCACCATTCTTTATGAGAGTTAAATTTAATATCTCTCGCTTATAAATAAAGATGAATACTGCTACAAATGATGTATTTATGTATAAGTTAGACAACCTAATTCTTTAACGCTTGCAAATTTTTAGTGGTGAATCAAGTTTTGAACCACAAAATGAACAAGCATATTTACTTATCTTATTAATTTGGAGTGTTCCTTTTTTTTTTTTTTGGGGGGGGGGGGAAGCTGCGGCATATATTTCAAATTGGATAAAACTCCAAGGGAGCCAATACAAAAAGGCTGGAAAGCAAAACACCAGCAAATGAGACAAAAAACAAGGGGCTGGGAAGGACACCAGCACATGACAACATTAGTTACAACTTTCAAACAGTAGGACATCAAGAATTATATCTGATGGTTCCTCAAACTATGAGCAATCACATGAAGAGGAGAGGGCGTAACGTGCGAGACGGTGAGCAGCCTCATTGAGTTGGCGACAAGTGTGGGCAAATTCGTTAACAATAAGCAAACCTTAATATTTTGGCCTAACTTTTGAAAG